TTTTTATGCTGTGCCCGTTTCAAACAATTCCGTTTATCTCATAGCCGTAGCAATGACTTTCTGGCGGTAATTCGACCATGTAGCCTGTTTCTTGTACGCCCCTTTTCACTGCGTACATTAAGCTCTATTGCAAGCTCCCTATTTAATTTACCAGCTATTTCCGGAGCCGTGTTCCTCCTATACCGTTCACTGATACCGGTGATTTGTCGATCCTCAGTTGGCACCATTTCTCTCGACCAGCCTAGCCATTTTTTTATCCACTACGCTACCAGAATTTGCATATTTGTCGATGTTTTTAAGTCTTCCACGATTTTTTTTTGTTTTCATGATTGATAGGGAAATGTACTAAACATATTATAATTTTATATAAGAGAAAATGCATTTATAATATCTAAATCGCGGATGTTTAAGTCAATAAAATATGTCAAAATATGCAAGTGACGTACTGTCGGTCACGAATGTCTTTGTACACCCCCTAAAATAGTAATTTTAAAGAAAATAAGCAACAATTTCGTATGATATTATATTCATTTATTATTATGTATAATATTATTAATTAATACTCGTCTTTGGCAGGGTGTTATGCGTTGCCAAGACGAGTATACTCGTCCTACTTTCAATATATTATAACAAATAGGCTTTTGAATAAGCAAATTTTTTTTGCCCACAAACATAAATATACAAATGTAAAAAACTTGAAAAAAATACTACAAATAAAATTTATTACAAAAATTATACATCAATTATTATTTAAAGAGAATGATCTTTTACAGATTTAAATTAACCAAAAATCAACTTCATCGTGTATTTATAACAAAATTTTATAGCAACATAATCACATATTATTAATTATCTTTATGATAGGATTTGTAAAACAAAGCCCAATACATAATGGAGTAATATCGAGTCTCCTTGCGAATGTTTTTCGTTGCACAAACTCGTCTTTGATTTTATGCATGTAAATGATTATGTATGATAATATATGTGCTTTTACCAAGAAATAACAGAACTTTGGTAAACAATACCACTCAAAATATATATGGCAATGGGAATAGCTTCATATAATATAGGCTTGGCAGCGAATGTGTTAAACTACACACAAATTTATTGCTTTTTTAAGAATATTTTATACAATGAGGAAAAAACGAAATCTGTATGTCAGAAAATTGTTCGTACACTAAAATACGAACGTAGTAAATCTAATAAATTTAGTAAATGTTTGAAACATAATACCTGGGCTGATCCGATAATGTTTTGTTTCCGTTATTATGAGGTCGTGATTCAGTTAAATGATGTGTAACAATAATTTAGCGACAACGTGTGCTTCTAGTAGAAGAGAAAGAAGCGTTGCAATACGGGAATTAATTGTTAAATTGTATTAGGAGAAGAAATCTCTACGTAAAATTGCCAACACTGTGGACTGAAAACATTCTACTATTCAGTACATAATAACAAAATTCAAAATAACTGGTAAATATGAAAATAAAACACGTAGTGATCGTCCTAAAATCCTAAGTGATAGAGATGTTCGATCTGTACTGTAAATTATTCGCCAAAATCCAAAAGTAAGTGCTCCAAAAACAGCCGCGGAAGTAGATAATAATTTTGGGAAAACAGTACACCCTGAAAATATTTGAAGAATTTTAACACTTTGACGGCCGCTGTCACGTATACGTAACTTTGCGAGCTAGCAAACGTTGGCCACTGTCACGTATACGTGACTTTGCGAGCTAGCAAACGTTGGCCACTGTCACGTGTACTTACGTGATCTACTGTATCAGCTACCATTTCATCATACATTCAACTTATTACGTTTGTTGAGGTTACATTTATAATTTCTTATAATAATATTCCTAGCATCTTCATGTATCTCACTTTGGTCTACAATATCAGTGGTGACGAACAACGGTCTTCGCGTGATACGTGCGGCCAAAGTATTAAGAAAATCTGGACATCGTGGTCATGTGCCGCGGAGGAAACCCTTAGTCAGTGACATCAACCCTTCGAAGAGATTTGAATTCGCAAAAAAAACATGAAAACGAAAATATACAATTTTGGAAAAGAGAATTCACCGACGAAAGTAAGTATAATATTTTTGGAGCGGATGAAAGAGGCAAAATATGGAGGAAAAGCGGCACAGCATTTGTATACGAATAGCATACGAAGACTTTCGTGACTAACTGTATGTCAAATGTGTCTAATAATATCGAACCACGAAAATTAGTCTCTTTGGGCTCCTCTTCGAAGGAATCAGGACCAACGAGCAACAGTGCTTGAACGATGACCCAGAACGCCAGATTTCTCTGACCGCATCTTCGCTCTCGCCTCTCCCGATTTAAATTTGATTTGCCTACTTTTGCACGTGCACGTTAAGCGTTACCTGTCGTCGTCCTCTTGCTCCACGTACATTCGAGGTCGAATATTTTAAAATCTGCGGCACGTCCAGATTCTGAATATTTATAGAAAACAACACTGCTCTTTTTTTTCGTGGACAGTGTTGCATAATCGTTGAATAACTCGCGTTCTCGGTAATGACTAGTAATTATTAAAAATATCTTTCTTTATATCATAAGAAACAGGAAATGGTACTAATTATTATAAACATATAAAAATTCAAGATTTCCTGTATTTTTATCATTGTATCATACAATTTTAGTCTTTCTAGTCTGCATTCTCCCACCCCTCTTTCACCTTTCTTGTCTCATAGCGACCGTTTGTTTATATTGTTTTTACAACAAGTACCATCGCTACACAGAACAATAATTGTAAACTTTTTATTTTTTTCTTCATTCGCGAGATAAATGGTTTTTAATACTTCTTTTGTTTTCAGCTACCGTGGACGTAGAATTTCACCCAATTATCAATACCAAATTTGTATATTTTTATATACGTTATACATTTTAATAAATACAAAGACACCTTATTTAAAAGTTAATTAACATTTTTATGTGTGAACTTCATTATTCAACTTGATCTATATTAAGAGAAAAAATTTGTGTAATTATCAGAAATTGAATTTGAGACCTACTGATAGTTGACAATCGATAGATTAAAATTATATTTGTAGATAATAATGAAACTTTAATTATTAATATTTAAAAAATGATTGATCATCTGGCCCTGCAATTTTATACATGGTGTTCGGCCAACCCTAGGAAAAATTTGAATGAGAGATTCTACAGGCCAAAATAACACGAAAATCAAGGATACTAATTTGTTGATTGAGGCTTCGTTAAATAGTTATAGAAACATTTCCGGCGACACGATATATTTTTGGTAAAGAATTTTTTTCTCGAAAGTGCGTAGGATTTCGGGGGTATGTGTATTTACCAAAAATGATTGTAATTGACCCCCGCAATCGAAAATAATTTTTCCAGAACGATTTGAAATTTTTTTTTTCGCCGAAAAATTTAAGCACCCCCTGTCGATTTCTCTTAAAAATTCGTTTTTCATTTTTAATAATCTTGTTTGATGTCCTACGGAAATTTTGTCTAATACTTTTTTGGAGGTATCTATGAGCTCTACTTCCAAACTAAATTTAATTGAAATCCATTGACTACTGTAGGAATTATGGTCGTTTGAACATTGGACCAGTTATATGGGGTTTTTCTCATTTTACGGGATGAAGGAACAATTTTTCCAACATTTTCATAATCTCTACATATTCTCCAATTAAAATCGTCCAATCCGTTCAGAAGTTATGATGTTTCAAAGATTCGCATGAAAATTCCTGCAGATATTTCTGGCCAGAAATTATATTTTCGGTAAGGAATTTTTTTCTCAAAACTAAGTAGGATTTCGGGAGTATGTCTGTTGACCAAAAATACTTGCAATTGAGCCCTGTAACCAAAAATAATTTTTTCAGTACGATTTGAAATTTTTTAATTTCGCCGATAAATTTATTCACCTATTCGAATTTTTTTCTCGAAAGTGCGTAAGATTTCGGGGGTGTGTCTATTCACCAAAAATGATTTCAATTGACCCCCGCAACCGAAACTAATTTTTCCAAAATGATTTGAAATTTTTTAATAACTTTTTCACAAAGCCTCAATCAAGAAATTGATATTCTTGATTTTCGTCTTATTTTAGCCTCTGGAATCTCTCATTAAAATTTTTCCCAGTGGTTGCCGAACACCTTGTATATTTTTAAACTTGATAACTAAATCTACAAATGTGCAAAGTTTCAACAAAATCGGTAACACGAAGGCCTTGCCTTGTTCTTGCAAAGATCCAAGGGGTGAAACGAATCGACGGTAGGGTTCTATCGTCGACTCGCAGTCTGCGTTCGACCATATTGGCATTTACAGATGTCTGGGGACTTCCGTAGTCGAGAAAGGGTGTTCCAAGAAGTAAATCGTTGGAACGATGTCGACCGCGAGGCGGCACTCAATTGCCTCACTTTTACTGTAAATTACAGACCAATTCCCGAGCTCACGTAACATCACGGCACGCGAAGAATTTCCAGCCGCGTTCGTGCTATCGAAATGGGAACGTTACGCCGCGTTTTCGTTCGTTTCTAACGCCGCGATCTTATTCGAACACCGCTCCGAAGTAAGTTAGGCTAATCTCTCAGCATTCCTCGAAGTTACTTCGAGTTTGCAATTTTTTCTCCCGATTTGAGAGCGTACACGTTCGAGCAATTAAGATCTACTAATCGTTACAAATTGATCCGCGTCGCTACGATAAGCTTAAATAACGAGATAATTGAACGCTTTGGCTATCCGTTCATCTAATTAAAATTAAAATCGATCATTCGAACGATCCCTCGGTTTACTTTACAGCACTACATCGACACGGATAACAAAGACTGTATTTCTTTTATTTTAGTGAAAATATTATTAATTAATTGTAATTCTTTCGGGATAATTTAAATTTGTTCTAAAGAGATTGTTTAAAATTTTCCTAAAGGCATAAAAACATACAGTCGAAACCTCGATACGAACAAAATTAAATAAAAATAATTAATTTTATTAAAATTAAATTTGTTCTTACAAACTTACTAAATTCTTCTATCCAGGGCCGATTTTTCGTAAAAGTAAACGATGCACCGCATCGAGGATCCTCTTGTTAAGAATACTACAACAATTAAGAAAAAAAAGAACAGTTTTTAAAAGTGTTCGATGCGGTAAGTATCACGATTTGTTAACGTCGTGAAAAACTGATTTTTTAATTGGTAGTGTGTTGTATGCTTTGTTGTTTGAATTATTCAAAATCAAGAGTGTTGGAAGGAAAACGAAGATGGGAATATTTTTATGGTAAAAGTAGGAGAGCGGTTATTTTAGGGGTAAGCGTAAAGGGCAGGTAAAAGTAACAATAAAGGTAGCAAAATAATGGGTGGTCGTGCAGGGTTGTAAATTTTATTAGCGAATTCAAATATTTAGCAGACGGTAGGGTCGAAAGGTTTTAAAATTCTACAAGTTATTTGGCCGGGCATTTACCGGTCAAAGAAACAAGCATCTTTGCCTTTAGGTAAAATAATCGAACAAAGAGTTATAAAATAATTAACCCATTATAAGCCAGTGTTCTATTTATAGGACACTGAGTATTTTATTTGTTTTCAACCCTTAAAATTGGTTCAAATTAAATGAAAAATTTACCATATATACTTTTGGGTGTATTAAACTAAATTATAATTATTGTTGTATTATATTACCAATATTTTTTTAATACAAAAATTATAAACATTGCATAAATTTTCTTACTTTGTCTCGAATTATAAACTCAATCATAAAAACTCCATATCGTCACTCTTTTTATCTTCTAATGTGTTATTCCTATTGAGGAATGATTATTCAAGATTGTTGTAAAGTTTGTTTATCTATTTTTAGCAAAAACTCGTATTGGTTACAAGTTTTATGTAGCAGTCCTATAAATAGGACACTGGTACTTAGCGTTATCAAAATGTATGAACTATGTATGTAAAAATTAAATTGTGAATTTATTATGAAATTTAATATAAATGCAAAGAATGATAAATAGTGAATTAAAAAAATATGGAATTTTCGAAAAAGAATTGTCAATTGATGAAATGATTGTAAGATATTTTGGACACAACTCATTGAAACAATTTATACGTGGAAAACCTATTCAATTTGGCTAACAGCGGATACTGTTATAATTTTGACTTATACAGGGTGATCGGCCAACCCTGGTAAAAATTTTAATGGGGGATTCTAGAGGCAAAAATAAGACGAAAATCAAGAATACCTATTTGTTGATGGAGGCTTCGTTAAAAAGTAATTAACAATTAAATTCAAAAATTTCAAATAGTTCTGGAAAAATTATTTTCGGTTACGGGGGTCAATTACAAACATTTTTGGTGAATAGACATACCCCCGAAATCCTACCCACTTTCTAGAAAAAAATTCGAGAAAGTGTGAAATTTTTCGACGGAAAAAAAAAATTTCAAATCATTTTGGAAAAATTATTTTCAGTTGCGATAGTCAATTACAATCATTTTTGGTGAATATACATACCCCCGAAATCCTACGCACTTTCGAGAAAAAAATTCCTTACCGAAAATCTAATTAGGTACCTAAATTTTTCAACGAAAAAAAAAATTTCAAATCGTTCTGGAAAAATTATTTTCGGTTGCGGGAGTCAATTACAATCATTTTTGGTGAATAGACATACCCCAGAAATCCTACGCATTTTCGAGAAAAAAATTCAGTACGGGCGGAACTTTAAACGTTAATAACTTTTTAACAAAGTCTCCATCAACAAATTGGTATTCTTGATTTTCGTCTTATTTTGGCCTCTAGAATCCCCCATTAAAATTTTTCCCAGGGGTGGCCGAACACCCTGTGTACTGCCAAAACAATCGCTAAAAATGAGCGTGAAGACTTGACCTCAGGTTCAAGAGTAGTATTTGATATGTTAGATTGCATTTCTGACCCTGCAAGCCATTGTATATTCTTTGATAATTTATTTACTAGTAGAGATTTATTGATACACTTACAGAAATGTGGACATCGAGCAACGGGATCATTGAGAGAAAATAGATTATCGAAGTGTCCTATAAAAGATACAAAATTTCTTGGTAAAGAAGCTCGAGGATCATACGATTTTCGATTTGATGTAAAAGGGGAAATACTATTTGTGAAATGGAATGACAATAAATGTGTAACTATTGCATCTAATTTTGATAATGTAGAACCTCTCACACAAGTCAGTAGATGGGATCGCAAGATAAAAGAAAAACGTTTAATTTCTCAACCACAAGTGTTGAAAAATTATAATACTTATATGGGTGGCATGGATCAATATGACTGGTTTGTCGGAAAGTATGCCACTAAAATCAGAGCTAAGAAGTGGTATTGGCCAATTTTCACAAGACTAATTGATACGGCAATAGTAAATTCATGGCTTCTTTACAAACGAGTCGATAAATCAAATATCAGTTTATTAGAATTTCGTCGATCTGTAGCAGTTTCCTGTCTAAAATTAACTTTAAATATAAGAATTACAGTAGGAAGACCATGTACATCAGCTTCTAAAGTATTCACGGACGTAAGATTTGACGGAAAAGGACATTTCATGGAAAAACGTGAAAAACAGAGGCGATGTCAAGGAGAGGGTTGCAAAGCTAAACCACTAACATATTGTGGAAAGTGTACAGTAACATTATGTAAAAATTGTTTTATAGATTATCATAAGAAATAAATGTATTTTTATTAGTTTTAAATAAATATTTCAGTTTATAATTGTTTTCAATACTTTCATATACATATACTATACACTTGCAATTCTGATAGCATTAAGTCCCAGCGTTCTATTTATAGGGCAGGTCAAAATTAAAAAATGTGAGGATGGAAAAAATTTTTGAAAATATTTTCTTATTCAGGGCAAGGTTACTAATAAATCTGAATAAGCGAAATTTTGAAATTTGAAAAAAAAAAATAATTTGGACTTTAATGGGTTAATAATATTCACGGGAAGATATAACGACGAGTATGAAAAAATATCAATTGCGGCGAGCGAAACTCGATCCCGTGTGTTGCAAATTCGTTCTCGCCTGGGATCATCCAGGCCACCCTTGTCGTTTATGCGGAAATTAATGTTAATCGTAGTACCATTTGGAGGATACCGAAACTAATAATAGACCGTACAACAGTACGAGCCCCGTTACACACGTCAGTTAAAAGTTATTCCCCAACATTAAACGTCGGTTTAGTATCTGGAACGCAGGACTTGGCAAGGGGAAATCAGTCTACCGAACAAGTGGGCCTCGTAATTCACGATCAAGCTGATAACACTCGCCCAGTGTTTCGTACAATCCGTCGACATCGTTCTCCGACCCCTTATCTCGATGGTAATAATAGCACTATACAGCTATGATTCCCAGATAAGTCACGAGAACCGCTTGAAAAATCAAACGCAAAAGTTAAGCCTGGATGAATTTCTTGAGAAGTTACAAATAAGAAAACAGAGATCGAATAAACGAAGATTCTGTAAAAGAATTTTGATAGAAATCTAGAGTTGATCCTGAATCGAAGTTAAATTTATGGATTTTGAATGAATAATAGGAACAACGAATATAAACTCTCCGATAGACCCGAGTTACATTTCGAGATTATTAGGTCTTTTGATAATTAGAATGTAGAGAGGGTGATCGATCCTCGAGCTATCGATTGGTTAGACTCGATATATCAGAGACGGCGTTCGTGTAGTGAGAGAAGGATGAGGGATGTTAAGGGGTAAGACCACTGTAAAAACCTGAAATAAAGCGTTTTTTGGCGATTTTTTTTTAGATGGATGGAACAATAAGAGGATAATAATATTCAAGAATGTTATTCACCATGTTGTTGAGTGTTAAAACAGAAATATTTATTCAAAAATAGTGCAAAATGACGATGCTGAAGCCATTTTCGCGAGGCGTGTTATGAATTTGAGGCACTCTGCGGCACGCAGTGTGGAAAAAACAAAAAATTTTCTCTTAATCTACATGTGTATAGCTAGAGAAATACGTAGGGGATTTTTGAAGTAGAAAGTTCAATTTCGTACAAAAAATGGGGCAATCATTTGTCAAGAAATAATGTTAAAATTAACTTATCGAAGATCTTCTACGTATTTCTCTAGCTATACTTATGTAGATTAAGAGAAAATTTTTTGTTTTTTTCAAATTCAAAACGCGCCTCGCTTCAGCATCGTCATTTTGCACTATTTTTGAATAAATATTTCTGTTTTAACACTCACCAACATGGTTAATAACATTCTTGAATATCATTATCCTCTTACTTTTCCATCCATCCAAAAAAACAAATTGCAAAAAGACGCTTCATTTCAGGTTTTTACAGTGGTCTTACCCTTTAAAACAAAGGGAAATAAAAAGATTTATAATACACTGCTCTGGCTAAGCAACACGTGTATTCTTATTAAATAACATAGCACTCTATAACTATGGATATCAATTGGATTTAAAATAGAAAAAGGTTTACCAATATACAATTTAATCGTTTCTTAAAACTCTGTCCACTCTAGTTCGTCTCGCCTTTAAGCTGATTCGTTCGACACATTCTTTCGTCCGCTTGCTCGACTTTCTTTCTTTCCTTTTTGCACTTTCCTCTCTTGCTTGATTCTCGAAAATCACGCCACATGATTTCTTTGTTTCCATTCACGCTTACATCAAAGATTCGTACCGTCACTGTGGCCTTCGTTCTGTCGATTCTCGTACACATTCATACACATCTTACACGCGCACGCCTCATATAACTGATCTTTAATTAGCTTCAAATTTTTAGGTTCCAAATAGATAACAAGGTCACTAAAGGAAACTTTCTCCTACAGTGAGTCACAGCCAAATTGGTACACCACATATGAAAATATGTTTCATTCGAAAAATGGAATTTTGAGGATGATTTGGTAAAAAAATGACCAAAGAAATGAATATTGCTTAACATAAAAAAAATAAAGTTACTATAATACGGTGCAGAAAATATCTCACAGCTAAAATCGTAGTTTTGGAATTACAGTAGTATATTTAATTAAATTGTAATAATACAGTTACAAAAGTATCCAGCCAACTTATAAGTGTAACATATTTTGCTTATTTAATTAATGTTATATTCAAAATTATGCATTATAATCTATATTAGTAGAATCCTGGATAAATATACTTTGCATTATAATTCAATAAACTAAAACATCATGGATAATGCACAAACAAAATGTTAAAACAAAATTTAAATCAAGTGCTGAGGAATTGGGATTATAAAATAACTTTATCCTCCAACAAGATAATGATCTCAAACATTGTACAAGAGTTATAACAGAATGGATCCCTTATAATGTACCAAAATCTTTCTGTACAAAAACATAGATTAACCTTCAAAGAAATGTTAACAAATATATTAACAACAAAAAGAACAAAATAGATGCAAATTTGATAAAAACACCTAGTCTAATCAATACATAAAAGATTAGTACATGTAATAGGATCACGAAGATATCACACAAAGTAATGTACTCTAAATAAGTTTTCATGGAACAAATATTGATTCTCGGCGGATACTTTTGTGTATGTTTTTAAGTAAAATAATACATTTTTATACGAACTGTGTATGATTTCCTAATTAACTATGACCTAATTTGAAGTAGAAATCAAGGTTTATACTAGTATAAATTATAATAGATAATCATGAATGTAACATTAATTTGTGAGTAACTATACAGGGTGTTCGGCCACCCTTAGGAAAAATTTTAATAGGAGAATCTGAAGGCCAAAATAAGACGAAAATGAAGAGTATCAATTTCTTGATTGAGGCTTCGATAAAAAGTTATTAAAAAATAAAATTAAAAAATTTCAAATCATTCTGAAAAAATTATTTTTGATTGTAGGGGGTAATTACAATCATTTTTGGTGAATAGACACACCCCAAAAATCCTACGCACTTTCGAGTAAAAAATTTCTTACCAAAAATTTAATGTGAGATCAGAAATGCTTCCCTGAAGAATCTTTAAAATGTCATAACTCCTGAACGGATTAGACGATTTTAATGTTTCAAAAGGCAAACCATGCGTGTTTAGGTGAAGAATATGTAGCATTCGCAAAAATATTCGAAAAGTTGACCCTTGACTCCGCAAAATGAGAAAAACCCCATAAAAATGGTCCAATTTTCAAACAGCCATTACTCCCACAATAGTGAATATATTTCATTGAAATTTTGAGAGGAACTAGAATTCATGGATACCTACAAAAAAGTACTAAACAACATTTTCGTAGCGCGTCAAATTAATTTATTAAAAATGAAAAACGAATTTCTAAGGAAAATCGCTAAATTTTTCGGCAAAAAAAAATTTCAAATCGTTCTGAAAAAATTATTTTTAGCAGCGGGGGTCAATTACAATCAATTTTTATGAATAGACATACCCCCAAAATCCTGTGCATTTTCGAGAAAAAAATTCTGTACTGGCGGAACTTTAAACGTTAATAACTTTTTAACAAAGCCTCCATCAACAAATTGGTATTCTTGATTTTCCTCTTATTTTGCTCTCTAAAATCTCGCATTATAATTTTTCCCACCGGTAGCCGAACACCCTGTATACAGAATCGAATACCTATCGTTCACAACGTTATAAAGAAATACGATATCAGAATTTCTGATTTCTTTAGGACTATTTGAAAAAAAAAAACAGGTTATGTAGAACAATATTAATCGAATTAAATTATTTATAGAGGCAATATCGTGAATACTCTAGGCCATATTGAAATGAAACCAACAATTTGGCAAGATTTAAGGAAACCACGATCTCTCGAAGAACAATTTGGTATTGTGTCAAGGCTAGTACCGTTTAATAATAGAAAATGCTAGGGATTCTCGGCGACGCGTTAATGCGACCATGCCGTGGCACGCAACTATGCGCTGAAAACGTTCGCCGGTGCCATTCGTGAGAAACACGAGTGTTAATTAGACAAATAACTGAATTACCGGTATTTGTCCCTGGGAAAGCCACGGGTGTTCACTTTCATACAAACTGCCATGAAAGTAGATTGGCTCCCATTCAATTTCACTGCGA